GAAACGAACGTGTACTCTAGCTACTCAGGCAATTTGGGATCTCTAGTGACTCTTGCAAGAAACAATAGCTTAAAGCAACCCAACACACATGAGTGTTGTTAGCAATGGAAATATACCTTAAATGGATCTGGGCCTTTGGCCAGAAGGTGTGGTTTAAGGTCTTAAACAAAAGGCTTAAAGCGGTGATCTGGATAGACTGCCTTATTTTTTAAATACTATTTATCTATTGCCTCAATCCTCATGGGCTCAAGGCCATGTGTATCCTCAGGCTAAGGCCATGTGTATCCTCAGGCTAAGTCTAGTCAAAGTTAAAATAACATATGCAGATTGTGATGAAACTTCAGCATGTAAAGTAACTCTGTGGTTGAAGTATGTTTAAAGATGCATAGATTTGGAAACAGAGGGGTCATTCATAGCTTCTTACTTAAGTAAGTATGGCATGATGGGCTGTATAAGGTCAAAGCTGCCTGTGTCATTTTCTTTTTTCTTTTTTTGGTTTTTGGATTAGCTGGTTTACACCTCCATTTGTATGCAGTGTTAATGGTTATTAGATGGTTATTAATGGTTATTAAAGAAGAAAAACTGGCAGAGCTGCCATCTAACATTGATATTTTGATGGTGCCATTTGTTGCTTGTTTTTGTTGTTATTCAAGCGCAAAAACCAAACCCAGAATAGCTGGAGCCTATCCTCTGCATAATTACAATACTGTGGCTTCAGGAGCTCTCCCGTCTCTTATATGTCCTCATCAATCAGCCTACCCTGAGCAAAATGGAAGTAGAAGTGTTTTCTTTTTAAAGAGTAAATGTCATTTTACATGTTTGAATGACCTAAAAGATAGAAGAAAAACATGGAAGAGTCGTGATTCAGACTTCGCTAGCCATTCCTTCATTGTGCGTAGTGCCAAATCTTTCCATCTTTGTGCATACAATAATCTTGAAGCAGTTTATTCTCTTTTTTTCTATTTTTCTTTTACCTTTATCTTGAACCCTTAGCTTTTCTTTGACTGTTTTTCCTTTTCCTTTTCTTATTTTATAGCAATTTGTATTAGTTTTATCTTCCTTTAAAAATATTTAATGAAAGAAAGGTGAATCTGAACACATGATGGTGGTTATCATATCCAAATTGAAGTGTTTGGCAGCAGAGTTCTTTTAAAAAATTTTAAAAGTACAGCAACAAATTGCAAAATGTCTTTAATTAAAAAAAGAGTCTTTTTACAAAAAAAATTAGCATAGCAATTGTTGACCTTTATGTTGGCATTCAAAAATATCCTTTAATTTTAAAATACAAAGCAGTATATTAAGCTTTTAAAAATAGGTAGACTTTTGATTTAATGCGAATAGAAGATTATGGAGTGGACTGAGATGTCTTGGCACCAACTCTCATCTCAAGTAAAAGATCTTGAAAGATCTTGGAAGGAAGGAAGGAAGGAAGGAAGGAAGGAAGGAAGGAAGGAAGGAAGGAAGGAAGGAA